TAGGTATTTCAATAACTGTATGAAACACTTCTGCATTAAATCTTACCACACATATCAGTACAATATTGATTAAAAATATATAAAGCCCTTTTCTTTGAAAAGTGTAGCTAGATAAACTAATGAATTTTAGATGCCACCAACTGTTACTGTCCAACTAAGTTAAAAGTTTAATTACATTCTATATTTAATAGTGAAGGGGTCCAACATCGATCAGAGCACAGTCAATAGTTTCATGAAATTTATGTAGGTTTAAATTATTCAAAAGACGTAAAGTAAAACTGCAAAATAAGTTTTGTTAAGGACATCTTAATCTTAAATTTAAACCAGATCCTCTGGAATATTATTCCAATGTTACATAATAGCCAACTTTATTGTTTCATGTGGATATTTGTGTGGATCACATAACACTTTCTATAGGCTAAGTTTCCATAATCTAGAAATGACAAACCTTCAAGGAAAAGAAAACTGTTCAATCAAGTATGGAATCTGTCATTTCCAATTGTCAAGTTTTTATTTAATCCAAGCCAATTTGGTTGAAATGTTATTGAGGAAATTAAATTGTATGGAGTGCAGACATACCTTCCTTATATGAGAAGGAGTGATTAGCAGCTACATATCACAACACAAAATTCCTTTTTAATTAATGTGAGGAGATAAAATCAGCAGACTAGAAAAACTTTCTAAGGTTTTGAATTTTTTCAAATTGTCAAGACTTTCAGCACAAATTTGCAAATAGTTATAGGAATCAGAAGTGTCTAGTTATTTGAATATACTATATAATGCCCTCAAAATGTATTCATATTCCGAATATAAGAGGAATACATAGTATCATAAAACAGAATGATTTACAAGATAATGTGTCCTTCAAAAAAAGTCAAATTAGAATCTTTATAGCATTGCACAGAGTAAAGTCCTAATGTCATACTGTATAAATATCCTATAAGTCCAGAAAACACAAGGATCACATCTATTCATACCTGTATACATAGTATTTTTTTATCCTTCCCTGGCATGGATTACACTGTCAAGACACCTACTGCTGTGTGCTATGATATTCTGCCACATTTTAGAAGACATTTTTATTCTCCCAGGCATAATTGCAACAGATCAATCATACCCTTTAGTTTCCATATGTGAACTGTTAATTTGAACCACATACTGTATATTTAATTGGATTAAGATTTCAAGATTGAGAATTTTGATAAATTAACTATATCTTTGTTAATTTGCATGCGTGCTCTGGCTCATTATCATGCTAGATTGCCCATTTAGGACTACATTTGAGCTATTTAGCAGAGGGAACCAGGTATTTAGTCAAAATGGTTTTGTATGTGCATTAGATGGAGAGAGCTCCACCACCACAGATGCAAAAAAAACAACCCAAACATAATAGACCTCCCAGCACCTTTCACAATGAGCTCATGTTAAATCATCATTAATTTAATCTTTGTTTTTCACCAACCATAATGCTAATGGGCATTTCCAAAGATCAATTTGCATTTCATCTGATTATAAAATATGGGTTAGGATAAAATACTCCCACTGTCATTTAGATAAAGCTCAAGTTCCAAATTCAACTGGGTGTTTTTGTGATACACCCTCAGAAGAAATGTCTTCCCTGCAGCATTTCCATGAATGCCAAATTCATATAGATGAAGTTAAATAGTAGTTTTTGACTTTATTTTCTAAAGTTTGTGAGATCTCACAGCAATTGTCTTTGGATTTACAGTTTCTTTTATATTATGGTTTGGTTGCGTGTCAAATCACTTATCTCTAACACCATAGAGGCAAGATGAACTTGTGTTCTCTTCATGGCAGTACTGCCACTATACCACTAGCCTTAAATGTCTGAAGAATACATCTTTATGTTTAGCTTTATGTGGATTCTTTTCTAGCCTTCCTGAACTTGTGGAAATCAGCAGCCATGTGATCACTGTATCTTCATTTTTTTGAGAGGTTTTGGTCCTTAATCATGATGACACATGCAGGAGTACTACTGAATGTCTTCTGTGTGTTAACACTTTATATCCCAGGAAAATAGGAAACTTTTTGATGGATGGAATTTTATATTTAGATGTTTAAATACACTGACCCTAATTGTTTCTGGTGTTCAACTAATTATTTATTTATGATAAATAACACTTGGCTCTATTCAATGCATTTAGAATAACAGTATAACATTTTTAGAAATGTCTTTAGCACAGCATTATTCACTCAACAGCCATTCTATGCTTTTTTTGTTCCTTTTTAATTTGGGGTATGAATATGACTGGAGAGGACAGTACACTACTGTTTCAAATTTCAGAAACACTACAAAATTGTATTAATATACACAGGATATTATTTGAAGAAATTAGTTAAACAACAGAAAGACAAAAAAAATCAACAAAAGATACATTCTTATGAAACATGAGATTAGATATTTTATGTTCCCTTTTAAAGATTTGCACCCATCAGTCTGACCTCATTTCTACTTTTGTAGAAACTTTAATGACAGACATTAAACATAACAAATATGTACAGTATTAGAGCAAATAGCATTTTTGTATTACTAGTGCCTCTCACTATTAATATGAGTCTGTATTGATTGCAAAAAGGTTGTGAATGTAAACAAATAGCCAATTTACAATTTACAAATAGTTCTTATTTAATAAAACTGGATGTATCAGACTCTTACTGTATGCCTCTGAACAAGAAACAATTGGGTCAAATCATGCTTTCATTTATTGTTAAAAATCCTTTCTTACAAATTAGGTTTCCCTAACTGTTTTTCATAAATGAGTACCTCTTCCTAAAATCTCAACCAGTATTGATAGGGGTCTTTGTAGCTTGGCATTTTCTCACACTCACAATCCTATTTGTTCTAGATATTATTTATCTTGTATTCTGTTTTAAACTGAATTATGAGTTCCAATACTTTATTTAATTTCACCATAATAAATAAATAATGGATTTTTGATCACTTTCCAGTAAAGACAGAAGTCTGCATCAGTCACTCATTGCATCACACATTACATATTTAGACTATGCCAACAAACACTGTCATATTTAAAATATAAATATATATATCATCCCTCAAAATAATATTGTGGGTGGTTATAATAGGTCACTTTAATACTGTAAAAGGAGATTTATTTTCTCCACATACAGTATTGTATAACAAGCAAAACTATCTATAAAGATGCTTGCATTGATAAAAACATGAATATACAGTACCAAAGCCATGGCATTATGCATACACTGAGTGGCCACAATAAAGCATGTAATTCTGAAAATGTGCACCATCAGTATCTTACATGCATGCCTAACTCTGGTCCTCAAGGAATACTGTCCAGCAGGTTTAAGAGGACTTTTTAAATCTCATGCTTCTTAAGAACAAGTAAAGCATTCAGCTTTTCCAATTAAATAAAGAATGAGTTTAATTAGACAAATAAGGACAAATAAACCAAGATACATTCTGACTCATCTGGATTTGTGTTCCCCTAATATATTGTTTTGCCACTTAACCTAAGTCAAACAATGGAAACATTTCCCCACCTACCTTTAATATTGACTTCCCCCTTATCCCTGTAATTAACCATTTTCACTACAAAATACCATTAAGCAAAATACAACCTTTATCTGACTTCTTGTGCATTTGTTGGAAAACGACAATTTCCTGAAGTGCACATGCACAGTATATTGGGAATGCCTTAGATGTTTTATTGAAACATTAATCTTTATCTTGACATATTTTTAGACAATAACACTTTGATATCTGAACAAAAATGTCAAAAGAAATAAGTCAAAGCAGCTCTGCGGCTCTCTCTGTTGGTGAAAGACAATACTGCAAAAGGCATTTGGTTTCAGTGTTTATTTATTAAGGTCACGTTTACCTCAAAATGAAATTAGAATGTATAACATGTCGCAAAGGATTAGAAATTATTGCTTTGAAATAAAATGTATCTATGACACTAAGAACAGCTGCAGTAGTTTTACAAGAAAATAATATCCAATGCTAAAGACTAATCAATAAATTAATTACACATTAATGAATATCATCTGGATTCGTTTTTATACGAGTTACAATAGTTACTGTAAAATGTATTAGATTAGGTCAGAAGTAGGGGTGACCAAGTCACTTCATTATTGTATCAGTCTGATAAATCAAATATTATCATACATAATATAACATCAAACATATGTTATATGTTAAGTATTTTATTGAATATCTAAAAACTCTGGTTCTTCTTAAGATTCAACAGCAGGATGACAATGTTCATAAGATAATGGTGAATCCTGCTTATTTTGTTCCTAATTGTATTTTTTCATTTCTGTATATTTTGTGCTTTTTGAACTATTTCCAGAAAGAGGTTTTTATTTACCTTCCCTTCTAGCTGAAGTGTCTGGATCACTGATTAGAAATTTCATAAAGCAACTAATTGTGAGATTGTATCTTGTAAACTGCAAAAAAAAAAACACTGAACTCCCAGAAACAGTTGTTGTACTGTAGATCTTTGTTCTTACCAGTCACTCCTTCGCCCTTCTCTAAAAATTTAATCATATATAACTACGTATATACATCTTCATACTGTCAAATTATGCCCTGTCATCAAAAGCAAATATGCAATTAATGTGCTGATCTCAGCTAAAGGAAGATCAAGAGAACCCATTTTGAATTTTGCAAACTTCTGTTGAAAATAGGGTTCTGTCATTTTAAGGTTGTACATATTTTCTTTGTCATATATTGTATAGGACATTGAAGATATTTTAGTCTCTGAACTTTTATTATATTATATATTATATTATTATATTATAAATAATAAAACTTAAATACTAGAGCATGCATTCTCCTAACAATGTTCAGCAATACTACTGGCTGGTTACTGCTGTATTAAAGCACTAATTTCTTAGATTGTTTTCATTTGAAGTAACATCTTGTTAAAATTTTGTTTACAGCAATGTAAACTTTATATATTACATACAGACATACAATCAAAGGGGTAACTATACTACAGTACCTGCGTCCCAGTTACTTCTTCGCTGTTTTGTTCCTCAGGAGTTTTTATAAACCACCACTGAATCTCCAAGTAGACTGAGGACAATCCACTCTGAAAGGCACATGCCATCTCTACATTTTGACCTTCCTTTGCTGTAATATTTGAAGGCTGTTCAGTAAATTTTCCTGCAGATAAAGAAATGAAAGATTATTCCTTTGGAATCTTGAGATAAACTATTACTAAATGTTTAATTAAAAACAAATATGGAAGGACGGAGTTATGCAATGCACTGAGAATCCTGGAGGAAGAGCGGGTATGCAAACCATGGTGACATCCGACCACTTCATTCATTAAAAACGTTCTGACTCCTTCCATTTGCTTCGTGTAAACCTTAGAAATGTGAAATTAAAATGCTAAGCAATAGTTTTGTGGAGAAAGTTGCGAATATGCGCCACAAGTCACAAGTCGACAGTAAAAGGCAATGCCTAAGTAATACAGTCTACTCCCCCAAAACCGCGTTATGTCCTAATATTTTGAGACTGCATATTTCATTACTTTGGCTACGCATTTGGAAATAAAATGAGACTGTTGCCAAACGTATTCTTAATAAGGAACTATGCGTTCATAGTACTTTCGGGGGGAGGAGTCGATGTTTTTTTATGCCACCTGTTAAGGTTTTTGTTTTACTTTTAAAAATAATTATGTAGAGTGGCAGGTATTTTAATTCAGCTTTCACCACATTATACTTTCGCTGCCTTTAGTAGAAACCACATACACGAAAGTGTTTTACTGCAATGAGTAAAAGGGAACTACATTTTTAAATAAACCGAGCACAGCAACTAGAGAGAGCTTGTCCAGGGTGCTGAAAAATAACTGCAGTCCTTTAAAGCACAAAGCAGCCCAGTTTCTGCGGATCAGCTACTTTGAATGCTAGTCGCGCCTGGTGTTTTCTTCAAAGTTATTCTTTTGGAACGATAAACAAAGGAAAGGGAAGCTTGTATCATTTGATTAGAAATGAGAAATTAGGAATTCAATCACTTTTTGTCAATAATGCCTTACACCTTTGAGTTCAACAGTTGATTTTTTTAATCATTTAAAAGTATAGCATTTCTCAACTACTGTCAGTTATCGTCACCAACATGAAACGATTACTGTATATTAAATTACAGTTCGCTAGAATTAAACTGTTTTTTTTTTGCTCTTCATCTGTCGAGTGCATGGATTTCGTATTATAATAACCTATGAGGGATGTATAGGTTTGTAAGGAAATGTCACAATTAAAAAAAAATCATGTTTTTATACACTATTGTTAAATGTATTATTAATTTGGTACAAATGTCTAAGCAGCTCTTTATATATTCTTGCACAATACTTAAAGTACTTACAGTACACAATACTTAGATTTACATTAAAGACCATACAGTACGTACACATAGTACTTTGTAAGAAAAAAAAACTGCCTACCTTGCAGGGAGAACCCAAGATGAATACATAAACTAGAAAATAAGACAAATCCAACACAGTCATGAAAGGTCCACATCATTCCAAAGGGGGAAATGTCACATCAGGGTATTAAAATCGGTCTTTGAAAGCAGTTCTGCAAATTACATACGTGCAGTGCGGATCTTTCTTGTGACAAAATGCCAAACATTAAACATGCTGCAGCAGGACTAGACTTTGAAAGTTCTACAGTAGATGTTGTAAAGGATTCAATAAGATGGACTTGTAACTGCGGTGCCTGCCCAAGGTGTTGTGAAGTATACAATAATAGGCTCTGTTCCTTTCTCTCAGTACGTGACTGCTGATGAAACGTCAGTATGCAGCTCCCTATTGCATGCTCGCTTCCCCTCAGTAAGGGCTACAGTAGGGAAATTCATGATAAGAGTCCACAGCAGAAATTCCGTGAGCTGTAGTTAGTGCGTGTTCCTTTTGATAAAAGTAAACGTTTTCCGATTTCACTCCATTATTATGAAAGAAAAAGAGATGTTTCAACGATTTTTGTAAATCTAAATGTTAAGAATTAGCTGTTAGTGTGTACAGTGCGTCAATATACTGTAGCAACAGCTTATTGCAAAGCAATAAGTAAAGTTAACGTATTTCTAACTAGACTTTAGTGAACATTTGTGTCTTTGCAATCTTTGTAGTTGTAACAAATAGTATTGTTTATGAGCTTTTTCATTTGGTATGATTTCAGTGTGTCGTTTTATGCATAATATTAATACGAGGCAGAGTCCCTTATTGGAAAAAGAAACGGTGTCAGAAACGTCCGAAACAACAAGGCACTCGGCCATTCAGGTTTTGCCTGAATGATTCAGAGCATCTTTTTAAAAAGATTCGCAGAACATATTTCATTTCAGTAAACGCAGTTTAAATTAAATTGTTATTTCGTTATTTCTATGGTCTTGTAAACAACTGCGATGCAGCATTAGTATTCAATTAAATTTAAGGCTGCCTACTAGTTCAGGGAAGATGTGAGAAAATTTGCATAAACAGAAAGATTGAAGGGAATCATTAGTGAGCCATAATGGAGTAGTAGACAGAGGTACAGTACCTGGTTGTGTGGTTCCTTACCACACACTAATCAACAGCTGCAGACATTTAAAAAATCCAAATACATTACTATTTTAAAATAGTTACCTACTATAGCTGCAGCATCGGTTTAATTATATTTGGGTAGAAGCCAATATAATTTAATAAATCTCACTATCCTAAATTGACTACTGGAGTAACAAAGTTGGAGTGGACTGATTTAGCACCTGGGAAGACTGACCAGGGCACTCTGCTTTTTATGAGGGCACTAAGACCTTATGTCATTTTAGTGTATATCTAGGGTTCAGTTTGTGAACATTACATGATATTAATACTGGGCATTGTGGAGAGGTGGTACCCAACTCTGATACTTGAACACAATAATCCAAGTTTTTGTGCAACAGACAACCCTACAGCCCATTTTGGCACCTGGAGGCAGCAGAGAGGAGGTTGGACCCATCTCCAACCTATTTTTCTGTACAGTGGGTGTGCTAGTCTTTAGGGGAGAGAAAGCGATATGGAGAGAAGGGTGACCACAGTTTACCATAGCAGGACATGTAGCAAAAGAGATGCAGGGTCAAGGATGAAGGCACAGTGGTGCAGTCCAACACACGGGGAGACTGTGAACACTACAATGTTATTAAACATCAACAGCTAATGAACTTTGAAATGTTCTTAGCTGGTGACATCCAGCTCATAATAAGTTCTATTTGAACTAAAATCTCAGCTGCAATGGAAACCTGACAGACTTACTACTTGGAGTTTTACACAGTGGTTCAAATAATCTAATGTAATGGTCCTTGGGATAGGTTAATCACATTTTTGCTATTATAAATTGGTGGCTTTTTTCAAGACCCTATGCAGACAGCACAATCTGGAAGGGAGTGAACAGACATGGGGAGGAGACAAGGAACTGGGCTGGTAGACAAACGGGGGGGCGTGACAAAGGTGCTCAGGGGGTGGGGTCCAGGCAAATAGTCCAAAGGGAGTCCAAAGGGAAATCCAGTAGAGGCAAATATTCAGAGCTGGGTGATCCAATCCAAGACAGACAAGACAAAGTTAAAAGCAGAAGCGAGATCCGGTGAGGGGTCGAAGACAGACAAGACAATGTTAAAAACCAGAGCGGGATCCGGCAAAGATTCGGGGAGAAAAAGGGGGAATGGGACCAGGCACTCCAAGTCCCGGACTCGGCTGGTTCGGGAAGCCGATAGGAGGCCTATGCCCTCGAGCCGCGGACATACGGCGACTGGGTGGTAGGCAGGCCTACGGGTGTCCGTGTTCCAATCCAGAGCTGGAAGAGAGTGAGCGTCTGGCTTTAATAGGGAGACTGGAACAGGGAGCAGGTGCACAAAATCAACTAAAAATGTGAACGAGCCGGGGCACCCTTAAGGAGGAGGGATTACAATCTTACAATCGTGACACCTCATAATGTTCCTGGATAATGATAGTTATAATAAAGTGTATTTTTGCATTAATTAAATAATTTTATCAGTAATTCCCCCAGCCACGTCTGCTTAGATACATTTCTCTATCAGCTTCTGTTTTTATTATTTTGAAATTATTTTTAAAAGGACTACCACTTTTTATCTTTGGAGAGCTGCATTCTTGATTTTTTAAACATTTATTTCTGTTGCTAATGTTTCCTTCATTTAAAAGCTTTTGTGCCAAATGCAGTTTCTTCCTACAGTATACTCTTAACCATTAACATTCTATGTATTCAGACTCTTTGCCACTCGCTTTATACAATCAAAATGTTACCAGCATCCAAATATTGGAAATACAATTTTAAATTTAGAGGCAATTCATTTCAAAACAAAATAAAACAACTTCTCAAACAGTATCTATGAATGTAATTGCTTTTGAAGCATGTATAGAGATAGATATGTAGGAGTTGTGTGAATATACTGGGACAATTTATTAATTGTAGTAGTAAACCACAAGGTCATTCTTTTATGGGTATTAGACAATCAATCATCAGAAACAATCAGCGACGCACACACAGATTCAATATACAAGATACATTTATTAATACATAAATTGTGCATTTGAAACATAACAGTCTGCCTGAATACAGATGGCAGATCTTATTGTGAGGGTTACTAAGATATAGAATACTCTATATTACAAAAATAGAAAGCACAAAGAGATACAAAACAAAGAATATGTATTCAGTATACAGTACCATTTGCTATACCAAATCATGAATCAGTCTCATGAATACAAATTCTACATTAGATACTCCAAAGTAAATGCATTACTCATACAAATTAAATTGATTTCAACCCTTGTTGAGATACAATTGAATTCTCGATTGGCAATGTAGAATATTGGGTTTACTTATCCAAATATGGATCTGTTTTTCCTGGGGCACTGACACAAAAGACCACCTGGCAGCCTCTGTTGCAGCGACATCCAATCGGCCTCCTCTGGATCCTGGCCAACCAGTCCAGGTGCAGTTCTGAATGGCAGAAAGAAGGAAGGAGAGAGAGTCTGTCTGTGACTCGCAGAACAGTCGTTATTTTCCTAGGGACCTACTAGTAGTCTGGCTGACTAGTAAAAGTCTATGCACATACTGTAGGGTGACCATGGGTCTGAGCAAGTCACTCTTTAGGGTGGAAGAAATGTGGTTTGCTTCTGGCATTGCACTACTGCTGAATTAAACTTATTCAAATTGTCAACAAGAGTCCAAAAGTATACTTCGGTGATCAAGCGTAGCGTCCACATTAGCTTTTGCTAGCGTTAAACGAAGCTTGCTGCAGACTAGACCTCGGGATCATAATTCTTTCTTAGGGGCTTTCCTCTGGCTGACATGAATAACTTCTCTGTGGCTGCACCACAGAAATGAGGAAGAGAGATGGGGGCCTCATTTAGAAAAGCACAGCAACACTTAATTCTGTCTTATTAATAAGCATTGCTGCTACTTAATTAAAATCATGGACAAAATTCAGTAGCTGCCACCTAAACTGGCACACACCAATGCTCCTAAGCAATATGTGTAAGAAGCTATTGTATATGTAAAACAATAGAAGTGTAACATTTATGTTAAATATTTGCATATTTTCCACACATATCTAAAATAAAACATAAGAAAGGTTACAAAAGAGAAATTGCTTGGCCCATGTAGCTCATTTAGTAAATAGTAGCTAACCAATCCAAGAATCTCATTCACTGATTTCTTGAAAGAAACTAGGGTATTAGCTTTAACAGTATGACTAAGCAGCTTGTTCCATACTCCTATTACATTTATTGTGAGAATGGGGAATGTTGTAGGCTGATTAATTATCCCAGAGTTAAAGTTAGCCACGAAAGGATTACTTTTTTTTTAATTAAACACATTTATACACAAACCTGTACAGCCAGTTCAAAAACTGTTACCATAACCTGGGGTGCTATCTGTGTTGACTTTCTATGTTCTCCTTGTGTTTGTGTGTGTTTCCTACAGGTACTCTGGTTGCTTTCCCTGTCAAAAAACAAATTGTAAGGTTAATTTGCTTCTGGAAAAATAGACTCTTGAGTATGTGCATACCTCTGTCGGTGTGTATCCTGAAATGGACTGGAACCTAATCCAAAGTATACTTGCTTTGCACCCGTTGCTTACTGGGATAAGCTCCAGCTCCCCCGTGACCCTGACTTGGATTAAGTGGTTAGAAAATGGATGCATGGGTAGATATGTTTTTATACATGCATATACAGTATATGTAGAAATGTGGGTGTGATGATAAAATTATACAATAAGGAGATATAAAAAAGCAGGACCTAACACCAGCTTGCAATGCAATCAAATTATAAAGATTAATGATCCTTTCAAGTCTTACAATCAGGGAATACTGAGTGTGTCATGACACGTGATTTCATTATTCTCCATAATGCAGCAGCTAATTGTATTATGAATAGGTCTTAAGCTTAAACAAGACAAACTAATATATAATAACACAATGTAATTGTCATGACGGCGTCCTTCGGCTTACGATTGCCCTAGGAAACCATCACATTCTCACAATTCACTATTCGGTTTCTCTGTTCCCATGCCTCTCTTTCATTTTTTCCCTTTTGTTCAGGTGTAGTGGCAATGTTTATTAATTATAATTATTAAAAAATAATTATGTGTTGCTATGCCTCTTCTCTCTCATCTCTGTGGTGCAGGACACACAGAAGCCATTCCATTAGGTTCCTGATTTAAAGTGTTTTCTTACCGATAAGGAACCATCCCAAAATGGGGAGGTGGCCCAACTATCATGATCAAGGGCCAATCCTGGCACCTATCTGTCTCTGGGATTTTAAGGAACATCTGG